TTCAAGCCAATGGTTGGCAAAGTTTTGGTGTGCAGGGGAGTAATTTATTTTTTCTCTTTTTTAATCAAGAGCAATGTGTATTTTTACTTTATTTTCTTACTAAGAGCCATATTTATAAACTCATCTTTAAAAAGCACAGACAGGGGAGGCAGAGAGCGGAATGACGATAAAACAGGGCAGCCTTGGCAGCAGTCAAAGCGAAGCAACATGCGAAACGGGGGATATGAGGAGATCTTTCAACTGTACCCCAAAACCATGAAATATTTTCCTATTTCCCTGTCCTTGCCGTATTCTACCACTTTGGAGGGCAAATCCAGGCACTTCTAACACTGTATTTGTGTGCAGCCCGACGATGACGCTATTCTGGAGGCTCTCTGGTTGCAGCAGCTCTTACTACACACCAAAGTTTTGCAGAAGAGCCTGTTTTGGGCTCCGTTGTGCACCTGCACCCCCAGGCTATGGCAATGTGGGATGGATCACGCTAAATCAAAGTGATTTAAAGCAAAAATTAATTGTGATTTAAATCCATAAGCAGGGAATCTTGATTTAAATAACTGATTTCAACCTTGCTTTTTCATCTGTGCTCTCTGGGTAGTCGATTCCCATAGGTCGGGACTGCTCTGACATGTTGATTTGCAGCTAATTATAGTCTCTGCACTAAAATTGCGATTTCTTTTTGTTAACCAGTGGGATATACTATATACATAGTTAAGTAATGCCAGTATATTAATTTCAGATTCTGCTAGATAATGCTGAACGATGACTTTTATTTAATATATAATTAACTTTTTCTTGTGATTTTTGTCAAGCCACTTTCTGATGACGTCTTTGGGATTCAATTAAATTGCAGAAATCCTGCCTTTTGATATAAACTTGATTAGCAAAATAAAGGCAAGCAGCTTCAACTGCAGGGAAAAAAAAAAAAAAAGCTAATGAAACTTGCTATGTAATCCATTCCTTCTCTTTGAGGATCCTTATCTCTTCCTGACATAGGTGTTTCGGAAACTTTGCTTTTGATCCGAGCAGTTGGAAATGTTTTGGACTCAGCTGCAGAGGCCACCTCACACATTGATGGCACGGGGACCCCTGTCCCTTGAGTCAGTGCTGTCCTTTGTGAGGAAGGATTTAAGTGCTCAGTCTGTTTAGTTTATTGAAAGGGAGGTCATAAGTGATTGCTGCCCAAAAGTACTGAGAGGGAGGGATTTTGCAGACTGCTTAGTTCTTAAAACCTAGCAGAAAAAATCCTCAGTATTTGGAAACGGAAATTGGACAACTTCAGACAAAAAAAAAAATAGGCAGGATCTTTTTTTTTAAAAAAAATGAAATAAGTAACTTCTTAACAATGTCATGCATTCTCCACTATCTGAAATCTTAACTCTGGGTTAGATGCTTTGGTAAATGCATTTATAAATTAATGCTATGGGTTCAGATTGAGCTTTGCTTTGATGCAGAAACACAGAGGGTGTTGGAGGGCTCAGACTGGGCGGTCAGAATGGTCCTCTTGGGCCTGGCACCTGGCAGCGGAGCGGGCGCCAGGCTCCAGCTTGCCGTGCCCGGTGCGTTCGGCCCGCGCATTACTGCAGACCCATTCCCAGTCTGCTCAGCAGCTCCGCGCGGACACGGAAACACAGCTGGACTCATCCCGCAGCCTGAGCTTGGTTTTCAGTGCCAGCGGTTATTTCCTCAGGCTCTTAAGTGCCTTTGCAGCCCCACCCCTTTCCTTGACCAAAACGCCTGGTTTTCAGTAGCATGAGATTCCAGAGGAAGTCTGGAATAGCAACTTTCCTTTGGAATCAGCATTTCTTAACAGGAAGAGGGCTCAGTTTTCTGACCTACACTCACGATGTTGAGCTGAATCCTGCCCCAGTGCCTGCTTAGTCTCTGCCTCTGGTCCCAGCCCTTTTTCTCCCAAGGCCACAGCACGGGGTGCGTCTTCCCGACAGGACACTGCTCCAACCAGCGCTGCCTTTGGCAAGATTCTCATGTACGTTAAAGCAGCCTTCCCTAAAAGCCAGCTCAAAAACAAAACTATCAACAGAGCGGCTTCAGCTTCCTAACTGTTCCTTGGTTTCATCAGGAAAATATTTTGGATTACATAAGGAGAATGTTAATTTTGATTTTTTTTTTCTTTTTTAAAAAAAGGAATAACACAAACATTTTCCTGGCTCCCACAGCCTTGCCAGGCTCATTTTCCCCAAAGAGACGCCTGGGCAGTGTAAGAATCAAGCCATTCTCTTCCTAAGTGGGAGGATTTAACATCACTTAATAATACTATTCAGCACTACTTAGCCATAGCCGCAGGGCAACAAGCCGCTCCGTTCGGAGCGAGGGAAGCCGCGCTCCGGAGAGCCGCGCTGTGCAGAGAGCCTTGTTGTGCCAGTTCCTGGCTGCTCCCTGCAGCCTCCTGCTGCAGCAGCGGCTCCCGTCCCGCACCGTGGAGAGCCACGGGGCCTCTGCTGACACTGCTGAAGAAGGCCCCCAAAACAGCCTTATTTTAGCTAGAAATTCAAGTGTGCAACTCAGCTGGCTGCTTGTTAAACCAGTCGCACACCAAGCCCTGCTCCAAGAGAGCTGCCTCCTATTTCCAGCTCTGAATTAAAAGTGCGGCCGTACCCAGGCGAAGATCCCGCACCCATCCAAGGCAGAGGAGGCCTGCGTGAGCCCAGGGAGGCCGGTGTACTGCTGGCTGCACCGGGTGGGAAGGGAAACCAAAGCTCTTCTCCTCTCTGGCCAGGCCCACGTGCACGACAGGAGGTCAGGAAACGCAAAGACAGGACACCAGGAACGCCTGCAAGAAGCTGGGGAGCAGAGCGGGGCGCCGCGGGGCCGCCAGCCTGCAGCACCTCCCGGCAGGGCACACGCCTGTCGCCTCCTCCTGAGCTTTCTTTTTTACTGCTGCCCATTATAGCAGTGTTCACGGCTCCGCCATGGAAAATAGGTTGGCAAATGGTTGTTCTTACCTGGATTCCTCTGCACTTCTGGGCACTCAGCCACGCGAACAAAGAAATCACTCATTGCCATTAGCGGCTGGCAGTGAGACTGCATCCCCTTTCCTTTGGATTTAGACATCACTGGAGCAATCTCGTCATTTGTGCCTGCCAGGGCTTAATTACTGCAGTAACGTGAAACTGCAAAACTTACAAAACGTGGGGTAGGACAACGTGCTCGTGAGCACCGTGGCCCGAGGGCGCGCGACGCGCTCCGCACGCGGCTCCAAGGGCTGACCCGCCGTGGGAATAGCGTCCCGAGCCTCCCGGTGCAGCCCGCTGAGCGCTCGCGCCTCTTGCAGGACCCCAGGGCGACGCTTCCAAGCAAGTTAAATGGAGGTTTTGCAAGAACGTGGCCAAATTCAGCATCTCATTCAGACAGAGCTGCTTTGAAAAGAAGTGGTGAGCAGTATGCTGGGGGAATGGGGCAAGCAGGACAAGAGTTTAATAAAAAATGGGAAAGGAGGAGTACACAGAGCGCTTGGCTGCGTAAATCCAGGGAATATGCTGCATCCGGGTCATCCTAGCTCAAACAGGCTAGAGCAGCAAAAAAGGGAATTCTGATATGGGCAATCAAAGTAATTTCAGGGGAAAATTTCCATCTTAAAACACCTGGAAAAAAGAAGGCTGATTAGCTTGGAGGGAAGATGAATAAAAGGAGACATGATAGAGAAATGCAGAAATTGCTGCAGAGAGTTACACTGGGCGCCAATTGCTAATTTATTCTTGTAATTCACAAGGAAGTAGGTACTCAATAAAAATGAAATTTAAAATAGATAAAAAAAACTATGTATAATTAAACTACACACAACTAGCCTGCAAAACCATTGCTAGAAACACGATAGAAGACATGAGTCTCCTACTTCATAGGAGAGATTTTCAGAATGATGGCTGACACAAATGTCATTTGAAGGCAGTAACTAAACTATAGAAACATCCTTTGGTTAAGAAACCACATGCACTAAAAATGCCTGCCAACGTCCAACACTGGTTTTTGTAAAAGCCAGCTCTATATTGATTACAAAGGTAAGATATTCTTCAGATTTTCACTGGAGTTGGACAGCGTGTTGCATATTTCTCAAGAATTCTCTCTTTACACTAACAGCTTCAGGTATAAATAGCTCAGTGGAAAATAAAAAAGAAAAAGAAGCAGCAAAAAGAAAGGGCATAATGCACCCTCAATGATTTCCTAAAATGCCATTGGTATTTTATAACTGAAAATCTCTCTGATTGTAAGTAACTTTTCCTGCTCTGTTTTTATATAGGAACTGATGAGGTAGGTGCAGTGAGGGGACTGAGTGACCTCTTGGAGGTCCTTTCCAGCCCGCTGACTCTCAGAAGGGTATTTTGGTTCCGTTTTCTCCCCACCGCTGTGTGCCGGCACAGTCTCCTCGCGTGCTCTCTCGCACTTCTCTCTGGCTTCCTAAATCTCCCTTTCTGCTATTAGACCTCCCACCCAAACGCGCTGATATCTTGGAAACGCTCCCTTTTTGTCACGCCCCGCTGGCTTCAGATTGGAATTATTCTTCATCGAGTTGATTAGGATTAAAAATTAAAAATCCCCTCCGAGGATTCGCTCCCGTTTCCGCGCTGCTCTGAGCGTGGCGCGGACCAGCCCTGCCGGTCGGACGGTCTGTGCAGCAGCAGTGGGACTGCAGGAGCCGCGGCAGAGCCTCTGCGCAGCGGGACACGCTCGCTGCCAGTGAGGATCTGATCAGCGTAAAGTCGGTCACCGTTACGCCCTGACATGACCTGCTATAACTCCTGCAGAGGCAGTTTCCTTAATGCCACGTTCCCTCCCTGTGGATCACGACTTTTGCTGACATGTGCAGTGAGGGACACTTTTTTTTATAATCAACGTCCTAATTATTAATAAAGTTATAAAGAGAGCGTTAAATCAGCAAAAAGGTGACAAAACGGCGCTATTTCCTCTTGCTTTGGAGCCAGGCAGCAGCTGCAGGCTGCGGTCCCTAAGCGTGGCAGAGGGAGTGCGCGCGGGGCTCGGCACCGTACCTGGGCAGGGACGCGTACTGCCTTTCCAGTCCTTCCACGTGGAGGTTGTAGGAGCTCCCGTCCGGACCTTTTCCAGGCACCTGTGGAGAGGAGAGCGATTAGGAGATGGAGATCAGGTAGGCACCCTGGCTACTACCAGCGCACCTCGGCACCATGAGCAGGGCACGCGCGATGCTGCAACGTGCCGAAACCACCCCGAGGAAGGCAGGGGCTCAAAGAAGCTGCAAAGCCCCCTCATAACCTTAGCACTGCAAACAAGAAAGGGCTCCGTATCAGGCCGACAGCTCCAGGCTTTGCAGCCCTTGGCTTGCCCGTGGGCCAGCTGTGATGCTGCTGCTGGGCCCCCCTCTAATGCACTGCTGCCCAGGGCTGACCTAACTGGGTCCACCGGAGCTTCCCGGTTCCTGCAGCACAAGTATTCCCATGAAGCCTGGCGGGTTAGTATCAAGCTGGCTCTTTTTCTTCCCTTTGGGCACTTGGCGCCGGTATAAGACGTGATTACGAGCAGGCTGAGCGTCCTTTCCCCATGCAAACCCCGAAACGTCGGGCGCCCAGCTGGGAGCTGAGTGCATGGAGGCAGCTCCGGGGCTGTTCCAGACGGGAATGTCACTCCAAGTGCCAGCTCGCCACTGGTGTTCGTGGCAAGAAGGCAACCGGGCTCAGGCAGAGAGCGAAATCCTCGCGAGAAGGCCCCGAGTGGGGCACGCGGCGCTGGGCTCCAGAGCTTTTAACGCGCAGGAGCTCTCCCAGTTTCACTCACTCAATGCCTGCTGATGGCCCAAAGTGTTAAGAGCCTTGTTAAAATGGAGCTATTAGTCTTTTCCTCCATAAATGCAGGAGGCTCTGGCTGCATTCAGTGTTTCCTACATTAGTATGTATTCCTATTCCGGTGCTGCTGCAATCAGCAGTTTTATAAAGCAATATACTAAGAGGCCATTTAAAATCCCCTTCCCCTTTTACAGATTAATGGCAGAGGGGAAGATTTAATGCCTTTTCAAACATTTTTAACAATTCATTAGAAAGAAAAGAATAAATCACATAAAGCTTTCTGCAAATGCCTGATTACAAAATGAGAAAAACAAACAAAAATCAACACGTTTTCCACGTCCTACAGGTTCGCACACACTTCTGTCACTCCTGCAGCTTATGCACAAGACGTTATTGACACCAAAGCCATTTAAAAGCCACTACAATGGGAAAGGTTGTGCACTCAGGTGTAGCAAGCCTTATCTACCTGTACAAAGCGTTTTTTTGTAGCCTCTCTCTACAATTACATAAGTCAAGCTCGATGCAGATAGAGCCATTCCCGCTTGCAGCTACTAGGCAAAGTTTAGAAATTATTCCAGACAAATACCATTACGCACCTTGCCACGCTGGGGTTATTTCAATAGGCACCCAAGATACTCCTAAGTGAAGTCATAACTTAGCAAAGACCTTTTGCTAACTCTCCTCGCTCTGAAGCAAAATAGAGGCAGCTCTTACGGGACTGATGGTCTCTAGAAAATAACCACCTCTGATTTGAAATGACCCTTACTTTAGCAGTGCCTCACTTTGGACCAGGAAAAGAAAAATCACAATAATTGCCATACATTTCAAGAAGAGGGCAGTAGGCTAAATCGATCATTCATTCACTTTTCCACCAGTAAAAGTGACACACGGAGAGGATTTATAGGGACAGTCACTTAGGCTGCGAGTCAGAGCCACTTTGGCTGCGCGCACACTGCTAATTTGGGCACCTTGGTAATTTCCCCTAATTGAGCAGGTTGAGGGAGCAGCCGCCCGGCTCCTGCTGTTTCACTGGAGGGAGAGCTAAGCGGATGTACGGCTGGGTTTGCTCAGCACCCAGGCCGTGCCAGAGGCTGCCTGCCCGCCTGGCACGCGAGGGGCTCTGAACGAGGTGCCCTGGGGAGATGTTAACGAGCGAGAGGAGGCACCGGGCGCTGCGGTGCCCTGCCCAGCCCCGGCGAGGACCACGGCGAGTCCTTCCCGCCTCTCCAGAGCCGCAGCAGGCAAGCGGGACCGGCTCCGTGCTGCGCTCCTGTTTAGCAGGCACCCCCAAACTTAGACCACCACCGGAAAATAAATAAAAAAAATGGATATCTTTACACTGCGAGGCCTTTTTATGGCCTGAAACTATCCCTTTTCCGATGGCTCCTTACAGACCAAATAGAACGAGGTACCCCCTGCCATTTCTGTTTGTATATATGATTTGAGAGACAGTTACCATAGAAACACCTTGGTGCTGGAGACAATTTTACTAATTTGGTTCCATCTCGCTGCTAAGTCTCTGCACCCTACACAAAACGGCTCCAAAAGCGAGCTCTGGCTCCGCGTCTTTAATTAAAAACTCAGCCCTCTCTCCTCATTTCGCTTCTCCATCTGTCCACGCGGCAGCAGAGATGTTATATCCCCGAGCTAAGAGCAAAATGGTTCCCGATATAAGATACGACGCTGGTGAAGTTGCTAAAATGGAAACCCCTTCTCTCGTTCAAGTTATTTATGCTCCGGAAGAGCCGAGGCAGAGGGGGCCGCGCTGGCTCCGCGCGCTCTCCATCGCATATCGTGATCGTGTGCTGGGTATGGTAATGCACCCCAGCAAGGAGCGTTGGAAACAGGCACCCCTATTTCTAGGGTTTAAATTAACTGCATCAAGTTCAAAAAAAGCTGTCGCTACGTAGAGATCACCTCCTAGTCTGCCGCAGTCTCAAATAACTAACAAGCAAGACATGAATATGCAAAAACGACGGGAGAGAGAGAGCCACAGAAACAGCCATCATCCCATCAGCGCAATTAAGAGAGTAGCGCGCTTAAATTGAGGCAAGGAAATGCTGGCTTTATTAAAAACAACAACAAACCCGAAAGAGCAGCTAAGTGGGACGAGAAAGAGAAAACAGGGAGAGAGAAGGAAGTTTTGCAGGTGTGAACGCAAACCATGTCCCTGGCGACTCCGGTGACCGCGGGGTACCCCCATGCAGCTTCCACCACGAGGAAACGACCAGCCAGCAACAAATCTCCAACCTGCCAACTTCTCCCTAAGAAAACTTCCCAGAAAAAAAGTAAGTGTTGTGAACACGCACACGTAGATCAAACCAGAGAACAAGTGTCTCCAATCAGCAAAATGTTGGCACAGAAATTACAAGGCACGAGTAGGATGTATCCGCAGGCAGGTGCCTTGAAATAGCCTAGGATTTGCCACCAGGAAAACACCGGGGCCACCAGAGACCATTTCTTTGCAAGCACAAAAAGGTTTTACTTCATCCTGAAGCCGCCCTGAAATCCGCCCGGGAGAGCACACGGGGCCAAGCTGCGCCCTGACGGACGCAGAGCGGTGCTGAGGGCCTCGTCTCCTCTCCTGCCGTACGCGGCCCCGGTTTCATTCCGAGCTGTCACTGCAAAGCTTTGCCCAGCTCTGCAGAGATCAATCCCTTTAAAAATTTGATTAACGTTTCTTAATTCACTTTTATACTAAACATGTCCTCTGCCCTTGCCATTGATTTCCTTCTTTTCTTCCTTACCCCGGGTTTTCGCCCTCCCTGAGAGCTAAGGCCCCTCCGAACATTTCAATTACTGTCAGGGGCTGCGAACACGAGCCAGCCGCGACTCCCCGCTGAGCTTTGCCACTGCGTGTGTTCAGGGAAGTCGCTCAAATCACTGCTTTTTCCCCCTAAAAAGCTGTGTTTCACACGAGTGAGGCGCACGAAAAGACAGGATACGGGCAGGGTGCCGGCATGTGCTCCGCCAGCACCCGAGGGCTTTGAAATTCCCACGCGGAGCTGCCTTCCGCCTGGAAGCCTGCGCACACACGTGGCACACGGGCCCGCTGCGGCGCTGAGGACATTTTTCACTAGTCTTGTGATCATCTGTTAAAGGACTTGATTCAGATGCTGTTTGACCTCTCCTCTCAAAGCTCCTCTTTTGTCTGCGAGCGTTTCTAATCACATGGGCTGCGATCCGGCATGCCAAAAAGCGCCGTGCGAGAGTGGAATTTGCCCTCTAACCCCCAGGTCTCCCCTCTGCTGAGACACAGTTGGTTTTTGTTTTCAATTAAGGGAAAACCGGAGAAAACCCGCATGTGGCAAGAGCCGCTCCGCTCCCCACCCTCGTCGCACCGTTTCAGGCACAGGTGAAACTTCCAACTCACCCATTTGATGTTTTGGCATTTTTAGCGGCGTGCCCGGCTCCGGAGGCCGCAAAGGGCATTTAAGGGGACCACCTGATTCACTAACACACACGTCAGTGCTTAAAACGGGGTTCCTATAAAGCACTGAACTGGATGTTCCCCCTGAAATGAATGAGGTTGGTCGAAGGTGTTGCTTGCTGTTAATTGCTTGCTGTTCTGATATCCTAATTATCCCACCCTTCAAGACCCTCAGCATTTCCCCAGACGTTACATTTTCCTCCATCTATCTTTTTTGTGTGTTTTTCATCAAAAGGTAAAAATTAAAAATTCTAGCAGTGTCCGTGATTCAAAAGAATTTTCCTGATGTTTTCCTTACATACATAAAGAGGGATGTATTTTGCTTTCCTGGTTTTGCAATGAAAATTGAAACAGTGATTTTGCGTTATTATAACACTCATCATTTCTCCCTCTAATTTGGATGGTTTTTAATAAAGCTCCATTGATTCCACTGAAAGAAATCCCTCCTGGCAAAAGCAGAACACACACGCTGATTGCTAAATATGCAGCAATTATCATATTCAGCGGCGCACTTTAATATCTTATTTATAGATGTATCTATCTATAATTTGCTTTAATTAAGTTGCATTGATTTTAATGACAGAAGCAGTCCTCAAAGAAGGGGCTAATGTTACACGAGCCCGTCAGCACCGCTCCACCATTGTGTGGATGCAAGACAGCACCTTGGTGCTTCGCTCTGCTGCTCCTCGCGGTGCTTGCCGGGCTCAGGCGCTGCAAACGCAAACCCAGACAACGCTGCTTGCACAGAACCACCATCACTGGCGGGAAAGCACTTTTAAGAGCCCCGTTACCTGTTCGACTTACACACAGGGCAGTTCAAATGGAGAAGGAAGGAGAGAAAACCTCCCCAACGTCGCCGGGGCGGACAGACCTTGTATTCCT